TGCTTCAAACATTTGTGTGTGTATTAATTCAAAGAGATTCACAGAGTGCAATAAAATCCTATAGCTGAATTGATCCCTGATGCAAAGTGATGGAAAACACTAACATTTCAGCTGCAGACTCTAAGCATGTTTATGATCCATGCTCCTAAAATCAGGAAAACAGCTTGGCCAGCTGCTCAGGGAAGGGGCAGCCAAAGGGATTCCATTTTTGCATGCTAAATTTGGGGTGCAGATTAACATTTATGGCAATGAGAAGTACAAACAAGCTCAGTGCAAACCTCTGCACAACTCCAGCCATAAACCCTGATTCAAACATGCACCATTCTGTGATCATAGAAAGTGCTCAGGTAACTTCCTAGCCCAGCCAAAATGAGGAGCAAACTCCAGGACTTCACCTTTGCTGTGTGAGAAGCTCAGCCAGGGCACTCAGTTCAGCTGTGCAATACTTCCATCTTCTACCATCAGCTTTTTCAGGTCAGTTCTGGGGTACAGAACACCCTGAACAGCCTTGACCTTGTCAGCTCAAAGGTAGACAGAGAGCTATTAAATAGAAAGACTTCATCACATCTTGAGAAATAATGGATGGGAGGGAAATGTCCAAGGGAAATGGACACAAAGCACAAATCTTGCTTTGAATGCCTCATTAAAATGCTCCATGGTCTGGAGCATCTCTGCTCTGGAGACAGGCTGAGAGAGCTAGAGGTGTTCAGCCTGGAGAAGAGAAGGTTCTGGGGACATCTTGGAGCACCTTCCAGTACCTAAAGGCACTATAAGAGAGCAGGAGAGCAACTTTGAACAAGGGAGTGGAGTGACATGACATAGGGGAATTGCTTTTAACTGACAGATGGCAGGATTAGATTGGATATTTGGAAGAAATTCTTGGCTGTGAGAGTGGTGAGGCACTGGCACAGGTTGCCCAGAGAAGCTGTGGCTGCTCCATCCTTGGAAGTGTTCAAAGCCAGGTTGGATGGGGCTTTGAGGAACATGATAGGAGGTTGGAATGAGATGAGCCCTTCCAAACCAACCAACCCATTCTGTGATTCTATGAGTCCATGATTCCTCTCTGGGCACCTGGCACAGGCTCCAGTTGGAACAGGAGGTTAGCTTAGCTGGGCCTCCACAGGACTCTTTTTCATACTCTCAGAGCACTGAGGCCAAGGCAAAAGGACCATTCAGTTCTCAGCATGCACAGTCCAAACAACAGGATCCAAATCCATGACATGAGCATGAACATTCATTTCCTGCAGAAACTTGGCATTATTCTGAATACTGATTTCCTCTGGCCCTTCCCCCCCAATCAAGGCCATCAACCTGCTTTCAGTCATACTTGTTATCTCCCTTGTCTGTTAGAGAATCACACCTGACAATGGTATAGTTAATCTCTTGGCAGCTGTGAAATGAAATGGTAAGCTCTGGCTGCCTTGAGAAGATGCATTGATTTCTTAAAATGACAGATTGCCTCCTCCCTTGATGTTCAAGCAGGAGCTCAGGGTTGGTGTTATGGATCCTGTCTATCATTCAATTAAAAAAGCTCAGCAGAGATGCACCAGCTAAGTGCACCAGACAGCATTGAGGCTAAACCCTGACCCAAAGATTTAATAGCAGGGAATATCAAGGCACCTTCAGCCCAGGATGCCTGTCCAGTTTGCTGGTAAACTCACTAGTTGTATTATGGAGCTTGCCATCATGAACCAGACAAATCACTCTCTTCTCCACACTAACACAGCTGACTGGGCAGTTGGGTCCCACAGCAAAGCAAAGCAGAAAAATCCCTTCTTCCCAAGCAGGAAGTTTGCTGCACTTAATAGAACAGTTTATATCCTATTTTGACACAGCTCTTTAAAAAAGGATTTTGTATATAAGTTAACAAAACTCCTGACACTGTGAAGCAGCCTCAGGCTCACTGTGGAGAGTAAAGCATTGGTGTCTGGCCTCAGATGGAAAAACTCTCCAAAATTCACCCTTGAAAAGGAAAAAGACTTCACTCCCAGCACACCATAAGGCCCAGCAGGTCCTGTGCATACCACAGAACCATCCCTGCTTTCTGAGATTTAGGTTAGATCCTAGGAAGAAATTCTTCCCTGTGAGGGTGGTGAGGCACTGGCACAGGTTGCCCAGAGAAGCTGTGGCTGCTCCATTCCTGGAAATGTTCAAGGCCACATTGGATGGTGCTTAGAGCAACCTGGTCTAGTGGAAGGTGCCCCTGCCCATGTCAGGGGGTTAGAACTAGGTGAGATTAATGGTTCCTTCCAGCCCAAACCAGTCTGTGATTTTAGATTCCATGGTTCTATGATTCCATGGCTTCATGATTCTCCAACTTCCATGACTCCACGATCCTCTTGTGGTGCAGCAATGGGCATTTGGGCCACCTTGCTGTACACAACCTGTGTCACTGCTTTGGGATCCACAGCAGACACGTCTGGTTTAATGGGCAGAGCAGACTGTGGCTGTGCTGCTCTCCCCACAGCTCCTGGTGTCCCTGAGCCTGCAGCCACGGAAGGTACGAGGGACTGGGGGCATCTGGGAAGGAGATTACTGGGATTTACTGGCATCACTGCCCATGGTGGTGGAGGTAGAATGGGATGAGCTTTAAGATCCTTCCGACCCAAACCATTCTGGGATTCTATGAATTATGGAGGGGAAGGTATGAAGGACTTTGGGGCTTGGTGGAGCCTCATCCTTGGGTGGTTCAGCTGCAGCTCTCTGGGTCTGGGGGGCGTTGAGGGCAGGTGGGACCCACAACCCTGATCCTGGGCTGCACTGGTACTGGGGTGACTGGTCAGGGCTCACAGGGCATGACAGAGTGGGTTTGGGCTCACTGGGGCTGTGGCATCCCCAGGCTCAGCCTTTGCAGACAGGGCCAGGGCTCACTCACTCCCCAGCCTGGACAGCAAGCAAAGCTGCAGCTCTACGAGGGACTGAGTCCCTCAGCTCCCCTGGGTGCCCCTTCAACCTCTCTAAACCATGGTCTGGGTGAACACAGAGCCCCACAGCCCCATCCTTGGGTGCCTGCATCCTCCCAGCCTGCAAACACAGCAATACTGCAGGGAATACAGCCAGCCCTTCCTGGGGAAAAAAAAAAAGGGATATAAAAACAGCAAGGGAAAAGAAGCACAATGACAGCTCATTCTGTGGGCAAACAAACTGCTCTGGAGAGCCAAATCCCTCCAAGAGTGGGGAATGTCACCTGGTGCATGTGCTGGCCCTGCTGCTCCATATGGGATGCTGGGAGCTGGCAGAGCTTTGGTTTAGGTGGGATTTTGTGGGAATAAAAAAAAAGTAAAAAGGAAATACAGCTTGTTTTTTTAAGCTGACAGCTCTCTTGGAGAAAAAATGTTGCAAATGAGTGACTTAGTATAAACTGTGGTGCAGCTCGGGGCCAGACAGCTGAAAGGTTTACAAACGCTTGGAATTCCTATGAGGAAGTATTAGCTGTTACAAACCTAGGGAAAATGAGGCTAAGAAAGATGACTTTGTCAAGTAGATATCACCATCTAGCTTCTACAGGGCATGTAAGAATGAAAATATGCCAGTTAGATCTTTCAGAATTCTGTATTTATTTCATTTTCAAACCAAGCATGTGCAGCTTGTGAAAGCCACCTCAGCATCCAGCTGGGTTTTCATCACAGCATCACTCACAACAGGGACACAGCCGTTTGTTTAGCTAATTGCTGTTTACGGTACATAAGCTGTGTGAGCTAAAGCACAACAGAGAAACACCTTCCACCTTGGCTCAGAGAGCACCACCAGCCAGGGCACATCTTTGCCAGTAAATGAGGTATGAAATCATCCCAGAATGAGTTGGTTTGGAAGGCACCACCATGGGCAGGGTCACCTTCCACTGGACCAGGTTTCTCTAAGCCCCATCCAGCCTGGCCTTGAACACTCCCAGGGATGGAGCAGCCACAGCTTTTCTGGGCAACCTGTGCCAGTGCCTCAGCACCCTCAGAGGGAAGGATTTCTCCCTAGTATCCTATCTAATCCTGCCCTCTGTCAAATTAAAGCCATTCTCCCATGTCCTGTCATGCCCTTGTAAACAGCTAAAATTAATCCAGCAGATGTGATGCTGCAAGAACCACTGCCTAAACATCTTATAACAGTGAACTATCACCTGTTTTCAGGTGCTTTACATGTTTCATTCTCTTCCTGTGCATGGTTGATAGGCTAACAACATTCTACAAGACAGCAAGTAGATCTCATGGGCTGAGACAATGGAAATGAAAACAAAAGAAAAGGTAAGCAGCACATCACTGAAAACACTGTCAGGTTATGGCTGTCAATCCACTGCTTGAAGGCAGAGGTGCAGGGAAAATGCTGTGATTCCTCTGGGAAGCTGTGGTGAGGTGGCACTCAGTGTATTGCTCTGCTCTGCCTGCTGAGTACCAGCTCGTGTGGGGGCAGAAGGTTAATTTGAATCACCAAGGTGATTATGTAGCTGTAGGAATTGGCTGAGAAGATGGGTCTCAAACCTCAACAACCTGGCAGATTACAAAGAGAGAAAAATAGACATCTCCAGAGAGGCAGAAGAATGGAAAGAAATTGCTTACAGGAGTACAAAGGCAGCTAATTAGAATGAAACAGAAGATAATAAGATAGGGAGACATTTTGGCAGAGTGTATCAGAGAATAGTTCCTGTCAGCGAATCTATTAAGCAGTTGTAGAACCTCTCAAGGTGGGGTGGAAGGAGAGTAGTTGGTTGGAATATATAAAAGTAGATGATACAAAACATTCAATACCATAGAACTATAATGGAAAATTCCTCTGGAACTACATGTAGTCTAGCAGTTCTTTCCCATCCGTATAAGCTAAGCTTTAATTAAGAGAGGAGTCACAGCCATGATTATACACCCTCACAGCTGCTTGTCCTTTGGTTCTTAATGTTATTACTGCTGCTTTCCTACACAGCACCTGAGCTTTGGAAGCATGGCTGAGGTTTTGAATGAGACTGAAACCAGTTCAGAGAGTACAGTGCCCAGCACAGAACGGTGAAAAATACCAGCATGGAGCAGTACTTGAGAAATAAAAATATTGGTCTGGACTTCCTGCACTCCAGGCTGAACCCTCACCACCTCCAGCACCACCAGATCAAAGTTCATCTTCTGAACAAGTGTTACTTTGACTTGAAGACCGAGCCCAGGGAGGTGTCCATGAGAGATGAGAACAACAGGATGAATTGTGTTGACATCTTGCAAACTGCAAACCCCTGCCAGCTGCAGAAGATGAAGAAGGTGGGGAAAAAACAGACTGAAATCCAGCTGACACTTTTAACTGAGCTGTTGCAACAGCTGGAAAGAGGTTGGGAGGAGCTGAGCCATTATGTAGAGACCTGTGACATGGCAACTTTCCCAGTGGCACTTGACTAGGAAGAGAGTGCTCAAGCTCTCCATGCTTTTAGCTAAACTCATTGCCTTGGAAGAGCTGAGAAAGCTCTATGTCAAGCACACTTTCGTGTCACAGGTCGATCTTGGAGGTGCTGTGCATCCTCACATTAATATTTCTCTCTATACAAAGAAGCCACTGATTTTTAATGGGACAGAATCATTTGCACATCACAACTGGGCCCAGCTCAAGTGGCTTACTGAGAATCAAGAGTCAGACCCCAAACAGTGGCAACTGGAGATCAGGTTAGTGACAGATGACAGTCACACAGGACCAGGATATAGTTGGATTCAGGAAGTCATCTTCAACCCATGTGTAATCAGTCGCCTGCAGCCTGGCAGGTTGTACTAATCCAGAGTGAAAAGATCTGACACTGACACACTTTGTGCACCGTGGCATGACAGCCTCATACTGAAGACAAAACCTAA